TGGTCAGAGTACAGTGACTCCCTGGAGCTGGTGGTGACAGGTGAGAGGACTCACAGAGTCCACAGCCTCAGGTTTGTCTGTCAAGAAGTGTTCTGTCCACAGGGATGACTCCCTCACAACCCTGGAGGGTAAGAGGGCCTTTGAGGACATTTAACTGATTCTTCTTCTCTCCTAGGGACCTACAGTAAACCCAGCCTGTCAGCCCATCCCAGCCCTGTGGTGACTGAAGGAGGGGAAGTCACTCTACAGTGTGTCTCAAGGAAACAAAGTTGCAAGTTCTTTCTGATTAACGAAGGACCACAGAAGGTCTTCTGGACACGGCAATCAAAGTACAACTACTCTACTCGGCGGTACCAGGCCCAACTCCTTGTGGATGCTCTGACATCTAGCCAAAGGTGGACATTCAGATGCTACAGCTTTGAGAGTAACAGACCACTGGTGTGGTCAGAACCTAGTGACCCCCTGGAGCTCCTGTTCTCAGGTGAGAAACCCCAGTCTTTCCCTAGAATGCTGCTGAATTGACACAGGTGCTGAGGGAGGTCTTGGTGTGTGAGGTGTGAGGAGCCAGGGCTGCTAAGCCCATTGACACAGGCAGTGGGAGACAGAGGGACACAAGATACAGAATCCAAGGGAGAGACTGACAGCAAAGCTTAGGAGGTCCAAGACAGACAGGAATCTTCATGGAGCCCCCTGCTACTGTGGTTCAGCGTAATAGAATCCACCAAAGCTCCAGTAATTCCACAGAAGAGAGAGAGAAAGAGTTGCAGGAGCCAGAGTACTCAGGACACCAGGAGAACACAGGCCACAGGATCAACTCAGCAGGGATCACTAGGGCTCACAGAAACTGAAGCAGCAACCAAGGTGCATGCATGGGTCTTCCCTAAGCCCTCTGCACATAGGCTGTGCTGGTTTACCTTGGGGAATTTTTAATTTTTGTTTTTTAGTGGTTCACTGTGTAACCCTGTCTATCCTGGCTGTCACTCTGTAGACCAGGCTGCCTTGAATTCACAGACATCTGCCTGCATTTGCCCCCTGAGTATTGGAATTAAGGTGTACACCACCACTGGCTGAGTAGCTTGTGATGTTTGTTAGACATAACAATAGGAGTCTGGAAGTCTCTGACTCTTTTGTCTGCACATGGGATCTCTTTCCTCCTACTGGTTGCCTTCTCCAAACTTTATAGGAGGGTGTTTGCCTAGTCTTACTGCATGTTGCTTTGTTGTGTTCCATTGACGTCACTAGGAACCCTGCTCTGTTCTAAAGGGAAACAGAGCAGCAGTGGATCTGGGGGAGAGGGGAGGTGAGGGGAATCTGGCAGAGTGTATTGTTTGACAAAAAATAAATTAATTAGAAAAAAGAGTGCCTTCCACAAGTGTGACTATGCTCTGCCACTTTCTGACAGACCCACCCCCTTCTCTCCTGTTTCCTTGCAGGGACCCTCCACAAACCCACCATCAAGGCTGACCCAGGCCCTGTAGTGACCTTAGGAAGCCCCATGAACATCTCTTGTCAGGGGACCCTGGATGCAGAAATGTGTTTTCTGAATAAAGAGGGAAGCCAACAAACCTGGGGTACACAGACCCCAAAGGAGCCTGGGAAAAAGTCCACGTTCTCCATTCCTTCTGTGTCAGAGGACAGTGGGGGGCAATATCGCTGTTACTGTTACAGCTCAGCTGGCTGGTCAGAGCCCAGTGACACCCTGGAACTGGTGGTGACAGGTGAGGAGAGAGAGAGGGTCTCAGCCTCCGGCTCTGCTCTCAGAAGTATTCCTCCCAAAGCCTAGCCCTGACAGCATTGTGACTGTGTAATCATATGTAACAGGCTGCCTCCTTCTGTCCTAGGAATCTCTGACAGTAAACTCAGTCTATCAGCTCGGCCCAGCCCTGTGGTGACCTCAGGAGGGAACATGACTCTCCAGTGTGTCTCACGGGTGTTCTATCACAAGTTCATCCTCACCAAGGAAGATCAGAAGTTTTCCAGCTCCCTGACCTCACAGTATATAAACAGTACTATGCAGTACCAAGCCTTACTCTCTATAGATCATGTAACAGCAGACCACTCAGGGACATTCCGATGCTATGGTTACTACAAGCAAACCCCACAGCTGTGGTCAGTACCCAGTGAGCCCCTGGAAATACACATCCCAGGTGAGTCAGCCCCCTTAAGCCAATCTTTTTTGACACCACAACCACTGGGTAGTTGCAGGTAAAGAGTGAAAAAGAAAGATCCTGATTGCTGAGCCAGAGCCCCACTACTGGGGAGAAGCAGTGACATGTGCAGGGCATGATGGGAAGGAATAGGTG